TATTAAAATACTAAACGTTTAGGTACCCACGAGTCAAGATATTAAACTTAATAGTCCAATAAATGGCGTCCGAATCCATAGCGCCAATGAATGTATCCCGTATCAGTTCATTCAGGAAAACACCTTACGATGCAATAGCACTTCCGGCGATCACAAATTATCATTAGTGAGACAAATCTACTTCTCGTTGGCCAGACGATATTTATCTCTCCTTAGCCACCTTGAATTTTTCCGCTCAAACTGACCTTATATATGCGCTACGACAACTGGTGGTCGACCAATCAGTGTCTTCGCTCGTCTGTAGCTCTTCGTCAGGTTAACGTATCCTTTCAACTAAGGAAAGTTTGACGAATGAAGTTTGTGAGTTAGACAATGTTGGGAACGAAGTGCAAATTTAAAAAGGAGCATCATATTCAACCATATTCCAAAATTCTTAATGAAAGAAATCAAAAATGTAAACAATTAAAGATGGATACTTTTTTCCGAAAAATGTAAGAAATTCGAAACTAAAATTTTTAAATAAAAACATATTACTTTATTTTATGATAAAATACATTTTAAAAATTAAAAATTTATATGTATTTTGTATTATATTGTATTAATAAACAAAATTATTAGCTTATTTTTCACTTATGTAGAACCTAACCCTATACCTCAGTATAATACGGGTTCGTTTTACGCCGATTCGATTTGCGCCGGCTTTTGTAGGAACGGAACTGCGGTGTAAACCGAGGGCTACCTGTATTAAGCATTAAAAAACTATGGCTTAAGCAGTCTTGGCTAATTAAACAGCAGACATAGCTGGAAACAACAGCTATCAATTGACTTGTGACTGTGATGAAAGCTAAAGAAAATTCCAAAAATTCGTATGTTCTATGGAACTAAAAGCACAAGATGTCTCATCAATCGCAGAAGCAATTGACAATTTTTTGGTTAGTTATAATCTTCCACCAGAATATTGCATAACTATATATGGTCTTATATATACACACACAAAATATTCAATTCCATTATGTTTCTTATGTGTCATTAAATAAATATAATTAGTTTAAATACAAATATTTCTTTGATAAATCCTCAAATGTAGAAATCTTAGGCCTAATATAATCACGTGTCTTTCATAGAAAATTGCACGACAGTTACGAGAATAAAAACGCATTATTCACAGAGTTATAATAAGTTTATTAGAAAATCGTGAACACTTACCAAGCTTAAACTTATTAAAATGTTAACTGGTACAAAAACTAAAACACGCTTATCAACCACAAAACGTGGCGGGAGAAATGATTTATAAAAGTGAAGTGTTGCCAGATCTCCATAAACATTAAAATTATTATTATTATTATTTGGCAATTTTGAATGTATAATTTATTAAGATAATTTATATTTTATTATTCATTGAGTTACAATCAATTATTTTTTAAAATTAAAATATATCATTATATTTAAGGTAATTACATTTGATTTCTCCTTCCCATTTTTGTAAAGCGGATGCACACGGGTAACAAAATTAAAGCGATATTAAACGTCACCGAATGGTTCCACTGATCGTTTCTTTTGACTTTGATAATTAAAACAGATGACTGATTTAATCTGTCGTCGATATTCAATGCCACCTTAATTTTGCTACCCGTGTCTTAATAAATAAGAGAATTCTTTTCCATATGCCCCACTCTCCATCTTATCTTAATAAGAACGAACCTATGACCAACAACTAATGTTCGGTGACGGCCAAATAGCTGTGCGGTTAAGGTGGCAGCGTACCGCACTAAAATAGAATCGAATTCAAACGGGTCGAAAAAATGACCAAGAATTTTTCGATAATGATCCAACTAGAAATGTAGGCACGCGTTACTCACAACGCGTCTGTCCCATTGTGGGCCTGGAGGAAGCTGAATGCATAATGGGCTTTCTAAAAAGGGCCCTCTTGAACAGTAAAAAAATAAACAAAATTTTAAAAAAAACGAAATAACAAATTAGAGTTAATGTCCAGGGTCGTAGACTGTCATGGCGGCTTTTCCTGTTTTAGCCTCGAAACCGGACCGCTTTGGAGACGACGTGTCACGTGACGACGCGAGCGAACGGCGGCCGCGGCAGCGCCGGCGGCTGTCATGGCGGCTCACCGCTGATTCCAGCAAACAAAAGGAAACAGTGGGGACGCACGTTCTAACCTAACCTTACCTATTCTAATAATATAATTGGTAATAATTATGATAATTTATTAGAATAGGTTAGGTTAGGTTAGGTTAGAACGTGCGTCCCCACTGTTTCCTTTTGTTTGCTGGAATCAGCGGTGAGCCGCCATGACAGCCGCCGGCGCTGCCGCGGCCGCCGTTCGCTCGCGTCGTCACGTGACACGTCGTCTCCAAAGCGGTCCGGTTTCGAGGCTAAAACAGGAAGAGCCGCCATGACAGTCTACGACCCTGGACATTAACTCTAATTTGTTATTTCGTTTTTTTTTAAATTTTGTTTATTTTTTTACTGTTCAAGAGGGCCCTTTTTAGAAAGCCCATTATGCATTCAGCTTCCTCCAGGCCCACAATGGGACAGACGCGTTGTGAGTAACGCGTGCCTACATTTCTAGTTGGATCATTATCGAAAAATTCTTGGTCATTTTTTCGACCCGTTTGAATTCGATTGTGTCGCCTTNGAATTCTATGTTGTACGAGTCACTTAGATTTTACAAATGTGTGTGCCAGGCTGTGAACGGCTTACATATTTATAAAATCTAAGTGACTCGTACAACAAGGAATTCATATAAAACGGAATAATCAACAGTGTTATAGGGAGTGGGGTCGACTATAGTGCATCTTCAATTATTTCAAATTTTCGTTGACATTTTTCCTGTAAAACTCCTCAGATCAGCATATAATAAAACTACACTCTATTATAGAATATATATTTATGCAAACATGACAGCCTCTTTGGCTCAATCAATTATGCTGAGCACAAGTGGAAAATATGTAGCGATCGAAAAGTCATCGCTGTACTCTTGGGAATGCATCTGGGATACACTAAATACTGTTGTTTTTTTATATATGCGGGAGAGTAGGGATAGGAAATCACATTACATTCAAGCGGACTGGCCTGCAAGAAATCTTGACCCTACCGAGAAAAATATCGTTGCCGAGCCTCTCCTGGACCCAAAAAATATTCTTCTTCCACCGCTTCATATCAAGCTGGGTTTAATGAAAACCTTTGTCAAAGGTATGAACCAGAAAGAACAGGCATTTAAGTACTTAAAAGACAAATTTCCTAGATTGAGTGATGCAAAGGTTAAGGAAGGTATTTTTGTTGGGCCACAAATTTGAAAACTTGTAAAGGATCCCGTGTTTGACCAAGTTTTGGAGGGAAAAGAAAAAGAAAGCTTGAGAAGCCTTAAAGGGAGGCAGCAAAAGAGACGATAACTACACTCAGTTGATGACAATACTTCTGGAAAAATATCATTAACTCGGATGCAACATGTCCCTCAAAATCCATTTTCTCCATTCCCACCTAGACTTTTTCCCTCCTAGTTGTCCTAGTTGCAACATGTCCCTCAAAATCCATTTTCTCCATTCCCACCTAGACTTTTTTCCTCCTAGTTTGGACAGTTTTTGAACAAATTCGAACTCACCCACCAAAGACCGTCGACCGTCTGGTCGACGGTCTTTGGTGGGTGAGTTCGAATTTATCGCAGGAAGTGATGACTCGTTGCTTGTTTTTTACAACGGTTAAGGGTACAGATGTGAAGGGCGGCGTTCGCCACACAGCTATTCGTTTTTAATCCAAATTGCGTGTTGCATATCTCTACGTTTATATTCTATTCTATTCTTATATGTATGATATTTATCAGAGCTTTGGAGACATGACTTATAAAACTTACATTTCTGTCTTTATCACATTCCATTGACTTTGCTATCTTTTGAATTTGGTATGAAAATAGAACTAGGCCTGTCAACAGGATATTGTTTCCTCTTAGAATTTTACTGTATAGAGTTCTTAAGACGCTTTTGCCTCACTTAATTAAGCAGTTCTCCTTGTATTTCATGAATTTTCTTTAGTGACTATTCGATCTATGCCATTACAGATTCCGAAACTTTCATGTAGTCGTGTTAGTACATTGTTATTTCACCTTGTTTCTTTTCCTCCAAATACAATATTTTTCTTCTCATCATTTATAGAGTTAATTTTTGTCTGCCTTCTCTTACGAAAAATTACATCAATAGTTTCGTATTCTTTCCATAAATATTTAGATATGCTTTGTCTTTTTATTTTCATTCAAAGTTGATTTAGCCTCTTTGGCTTTCTGGCCAATGTATATCTGCAGTCTTGTAATTTTTTAGCGAATATTTTGTTTACGTTCTTATATTTTCTTCTCTCATTTATTTTTTTGCAAGACTTCCTCTGTGATTCAACTTTTATTTATCATTTCTCCTTCATCCAAAACATTTGTAGCGCCTTTTTTAACTTTAATTTTCAGGTCTTCAAAATTTCTTTAGTCTCTTCTTGTGTCAAAGTTTTGAAATCTATTGTTCAACTTTATTTCCAGCGGCATGTACAGAATTTTTCGCATATACATATTTAGTCGATGCGGATAGTTAATTCCTTTTGAAAGTAATTAAAAAGAATTAACCATCCGAAAAACTAAACATATTATATTATTGACAAGATTATGTCTTGTTTATAAAATCGTGCAGCTTGCTGTGTTACCAGCTTAGAGGTATGAAGGAGTACATGTCAAAAGTTGCAATTTGGCACAGAGTATTAGGTGCCCAAATTATGAGCTCATAAAAAAAATCAGACTTGTAGGTACCCAGGAGACCGAGCACTGAGTCAAAATAAAATACAACAGGCAAACCGAAGTCAGGTGGTGAGAGTACCACCCATAGTCATTCTAGGAAGTGGACTCTGACCCTAGGACTGAACACGCAGTATTTTCTTTGTTAAATAAAATTTGTAATCTAATTTTGTAAATTTGAAAGTGTTTCAAATATGAGGTTTTTTAACATTATCTAGTATAGTGAAACCGTGGGACCGATAAAACTTTGACGTTATATTAGGGTTGTCGTTACATCGGATGACGCATTTCGACCGTTTTTAAATACGAAGAAACTTGTGTAAACCGGACTGGTGCCCCACCGAATATTTTCCCCATTTAGGCAGGTTTCCGTTTTATTAAGGTTCCGCTTTGGACGGGTTTTACTATAGTTTCTAGCGGTGTTAAATCTAATTGTATTTTGATAAAAATTCAGAATTTTTTAAATTAATACGTCGGAAAATTATTCTAATTTCCTACCCTACCATATTTTATTTTATCGAATCTCTTGTTAAATATTTGAAACTAATACTTAACATTGAATACGTCATATTAGTAATAGTTTTCAATTTTACACTGTAAATCTGAATAAGTGAGAGAAAAAAAGCGATAAAACCATTGTTAAATTATTAAATAGANGCGATGAATATGTAGATATTTCGCGCGCTTTAAGTGACTTTTGTATAGTTTGTAAATATTTATTTCTAATAAAACAGTGAAATTTTAATAAGGTGAAACTGTATTCTTGTGTATTTATTCTTAAAACGTGAATTTCCACGTGTTTGCTTGTTTTTCTCGTCGGTCAAAGATCGACAGTTAGAAACTTATAACCGATTTAATCGATTCGGAATTTACAAAACAAACGTAAAGTTATTTTAGAAGAGTACTCTATAATAACAACGTTTTAAAATAATAGATTTTCCTGTGAATTTGTCCGGATTTAAAATGAGTTCTTTTTGTAGCATCTGCAGAGTTTGTAGTTGAAGATTACAATATTTGAAGAGTTAAATTCACTCGTTTTTCAAAAGAACACTTTGTAAATATTTTTTCATTTTGCAATGATTTAAAAAAATAAAAATTCTTGCCGAAGAGATTGTCAACTATTATTAATTATATTGTGACTGTGATAGCACAAACAAGATACAAACCCAGTATTTCTTCGTTAACAATTATGTTTTTAGAAGGGCTACAGTAAGCTGTTTTTGATTTTTTACCTTTTAAAAATTGTTCTCGCTATTATAAGTAAATTTTGCTCTGAATTTAATTGTAAAGGCGATATTTACATCTGCAGTTGGATGCATAAGTTTGTCACTGTTAAAAACTAATTTTATTATCAAATTAATCTATGTAAAAAGGGCTGGCAGAATTACAATTTAATAAATTAAAAATTACATTATTCCAATGAAGTATCCATCTGTAATGTAATTTTCACTTTATTAAATAGATTTTATCTATTTCAAAAGTTTTGTATAGTAAGAGAATTGTTTTATAATAGAAT